TTTATGTTTTTTGCAACAAGAATGTCTCCTGGATAAGGTTCCAACCTTTCATAGAATTATCCAGATAGAGACGGTCAATTTTTACTTCTGAGCAAGGCTTTAGAAATAAATCATTATTAAAAACCAAAACAATGAAACTGCATAGCATAGTAAGAACATCTGCAGAACAAAAGTCAAAACTAATGGAATACTAATTGAACAAATATCTAAATTTAATTAAGATCAAGATATAAATATTGGCATTAAAATACAGAAATGTAACAAGATAAATGTAATAACCAAATATCAATTCTGATTGAATTGAAGCTATACATCATCATCTGTAAATCTGTCCTCACCTATGGTATTAAAGTTCAACTTTTAACCAAAACAGAGATTCAAAAAGTGGAAAACTGCTTACCTGAAAATAAATTCATTTATTTAGTTAAACATTCACTTTCTGCATTATGTATACTATTGTTTTAGTAAATTATATAATATTGTCTATAGAACAGTGATGGCAAACCTTTTGAGCTGGGCGTGTCAAAATTTTGAAAAATCCTAACTTAACTCTGGTGCCGTGTCACCTAAAAATATTCATAATTTTTTGATATTTGCAACTATAGTAAAAAAAGGTTTATGTTTTTTATATTTACTTTATATATATAAATGCAATTAAAATGGTCTGTTCTAGGCTCCTAAATTGGTTGAATCTTTCACTGAACTCTTCAATTAACGAGTTTACTATATTCTGGTACATAAGTATGGACTCCATTACACTCGTTTTATTGGCCTTTTCAAAATACTTTTTTATTTGAGGAAAATACTAATAAGTTTTAGTTTCAATATCTCGCTTAAAAAATTTAAGTTTACTTTCAAAAGATTTGATGTATCCAAACATAACATCAATACTTTTGCCAAAACCTTATAATTTTAAGTTCAGTTCATTCATATGAACAAAGAGATCTGTAAAAAACACTAAATTACTGACCCAGTTATGATCATTAATCTGAGGAAAGTTTGCCAGATCCTTATTCTTAATAAATACTTTAATTTCTTCAAAGCACTCCACAAATCACTCAAGTACTTTACCTCGACTCAGCCATCTCACATTATTGAACATCAGTAGTCTACTGTAGGATGAATCAACTTCTTGTAAAAGTGCAGAAAATTCTCGTTTGTGAAGGGGTCTAGCAGCTATAAAATTCACAATTTTTATTATAACTGACATTAAATCATTCAATTCTGAAAATCCCGATTTGGCACACATCATCTCCTGATGGATAATGCAATGAAAAGGTATAAGTGGATGTTTATGGGATTTGGAAAAAAATGTAGGATTCGTCTATTCCATAAACGAATCCTACATTTTTTCCCATCGTATTTGCTGCCCCATCTGTCATAACTGACACAATTTTAGAGATATCAATACAGTAGAGCGTCGATTTTCCGAAAGTCAATCATCCGAAAGAATTCCAGTTGGCGAATTTAAATTTTCGCCAGTGCTGTGGCACTTCAATCTTTGTCTATGTCTTGGGCCACTCAAATATCAGGTCAGTCCATAAGTTTGTGCGCATTTTTATCTACAAAAAAAGCAACAAAAAATTTTAATTAAATCTTATTTCAATCTATAATGTATTCACCATTATTTTGTACAATTTCTTGCCATCTTGATGGTAGCTTTTTAATCCCGTCTTTGTAAAATGATTTCGGTTTTGAATCAAAATATTCAGAAATAGCCTTTTTTACATTGTTCTCATCCTCAAAAGTTTTTCCTTTTAAAAAATTCTGCAAACTCCGAAAAAG